ATCTGAAGACTGCGTTCGTGGACTAAAGTCGACCAAAACCTTCACAAATGGCTTACCATTAAAAAGACATTTCTATGAGACGAGGATTACTGTAATATTACTGATTGTGTTGTAATCTCAACAAAGCCTTAATCATCTCTTGGAAACTGTTGACAACAGACATCCACCTCTGGATGTGGACATTGGATGTCAAGTCGTGTCCATTGAGGTGCAGGTCTGCCATAGTGTTCATCGGCGGCGGAATGTATTTCACGAAAACCATTGTATGCGAGAACTTGATGTGCTGTCACACAAACACACCGTTACTTCAGGTGTCATATCATGTCATGTCATGTCATGTCATGTCATGTCATGTCAAACAAGTGGTGCAATGCCTACCAGTGCCGGGTAGTAGCGCTCAATGCCATCCTTGTCCTCAAACCGGATGGTTCTTCTCTCGAGCGGTTCTCCACTCAGTTTCTGTCAAATCATTGAAAACGTGTATCAATTCAATGAATGCATCAAATGGTGTCAAATCATGTCAAATGGTGTCAACCTCTGAGTGTTTGCTTCTGATCTTCGGCCGAACGGAAGTCATATCCGATGTCTTTGAAGTCATGTCCGATGTCTTTGAACTCATCTCTTATGGCATATAATAGGTTTGAATCCAATGTAAAACGTTTTAAAGTGTGAATCAATTAAAACATATGAATTGAAAACACATGTAAATCACTATTTGCTCATCAAATGCAACAACAAATCAAACGTTTGCTCACATTATCACGTAATCGTTGGTCACAAACATCGTTACCATTACTACCAAAAGTATTGGACCCTATGTTTACAATACAGCCCATTGTGTGCGAGTGTGAATGTGTGTTGACTGTAGAGTCGAGTGTTATGTTGTTTATTGACTATAATTGTTATGCTTTCCATAAACAGTCTATTGAATGGACGAGTATTTAAAGAGCAATGAATTGGAAATATAGTTAGAGTTAGAGTTTTGGCATTAATTGTGAGATCTGTTTGTTATTAGCACTCAATTGAATACAATGTGAATATGATATGAAACACAAACAGAGATAATAGTCATTGATTTGGTTGTGTGACTGATAAGACACGACACGTATGTCTGCCATCAATGATCTCTTCGTAGGCTTTCACTAGTTGTGAGTATTTCACCGATTGTCTGAATTGAGTCCATGTAAACACCACTTAATACTTAACTTCACTTAATGTAATCATTAGTTTATATTACTCTTACGATTAGTGTGAATGTTGTCTATTAACTAACAGTAATATACTGTTTAATAATATATACAAATGATTGATTTGAACAAAACACTCGCATTTTGATTCACATTTCATGAAATGTTTTGAATAAATGATGCGATTATGAGAAAGTGTTGAACAGTTTAACAGTTTAATAGTTTATATAATAATTAGTTTATTGTATTAATAGTCAAATATCATATCATACCATACGATAGAGTACTGTATATATCGTGCAATTTGTCATACAATACAGGCATAGAAATGTTGGTGAAGTACCGGCAGTTGATTCAGTCGAAGACATCCATATCCCGTAATTTCCTCTTGACTTTGGC